TTTTCCAAAATTGATAACTATAGATAATATCTACTTGTATATGGTAATAACTAAGTTGAAAATTTAAATTATTAGGAATAATTTTAAATATTTTCCAAATTTGCAAATAATATTATTTGATTATAACAACTTTCACATTCTACAAGATTCAGCTATTTACAGTTATGTCTAATTATATTATTCTGATAATAAATATCTTCAGTTCTCTTAAGACTTAGTATCTTTTCTCAAAAAGTAACATACCAAATACTGTTCTTGTTTATTTATATTTGTAAAATTATTTCAAATATTTTCATGATTCGTTATTACACAGTAATTACTTTTACTTTTTTCAAGACTTATATGTTTAAATAAGTTAACTCTAATTACATTATTAGGAATTATTTCAAATATTTTCCAAACTTCTTCAAAACTTAGTTTTTTTTACATAAGTTAAGTCTAATTATCTTAATTTAATTATAACTAGGCGGATATATCCGCCCAAAATGTCGAAAATGCGACCTTGTAAAATCTCCGTCTGCAAAGGAATAAAGATCAGTAAACAGATGAAAAATTATATGAACTTTAGAAATGTAATGAATATTATAAAGAAAAGGTAAACAAAATGATAACAATTTCACATTTGAGTAATTTTTACAGTTAATAGATCAATTTTCATCTTATTTTATTTCATTTTCATTCCAAAATTGATCTCTTTGCAGTTTCTTCAGAAACTTCCTTTTTCTATCATATAAATTATGTAAAATTCTAAAATGCTTTTAACCTTATATAATTATAAATTACTTTCGAAATTCTCTTGTCTTGACAACATTTTATAGATTATTTTCCGAAATAAGCACAAATGTTATTAAAAATCAATTTATGATAATTTTGAAATTATAAATTATTTCTAATATTCTATATAATTATTTTCCAAAATTGATAACTATAGATAATATCTACTTGTATATGATAATAACTAAGTTGGAAATTTAAATTATTAGGAATAATTTTAAATATTTTCCAAATTTGCTAATAATATTATTTTATAATAACAACTTTCACATTCTACAAGATTCAGCTATTTACAGTTATGTCTAATTATATTATTTTGATAATAAATATCTTCAGTTCTCTTAAGACTTAGTATCTTTTCTCAAAAAGTAATATACCAAATACTGTTCTTGTTTATTTATATTTGTAAAATTATTTCAAATATTTTCATGATTCGTTATTGAACAGTAATTACTTTTACTTTTTTCAAGACTTATATGTTTAAATAAGTTAACTCTAATTACATTATTAGGAATTATTTCAAATATGTTCTAAAAATTCTTCAAAACTTAGTTTTTTACAAAAGTTAAGTCTAATTATCTTAATTTAATTATAACTACTTACATTTTTCTCAAGGCTTAGTAAAATAGAGTTTTGTGGGTAAAATAAATACTTTTTATTTTTTTACAATTTCTTCAAGACCTACTTTTTATCATCTATTAGTTAAATAATGTCTTGGTTTTTCAAAAATAATCACGAAATTTTCAATAACTTAATCAGAAAACAGGTTGTCATCAGTTTCTTTAAAATCTATTTATCATTAACTTATTTTTGTTGACCTTTTAAACTTTCAAAATAATGTATTGTTTATTAAAACATATATAGAAATAGTTTTAACAGTAGAAATTTATTAAGGCTTGTTTGTTCCGAGATGCCGGAAAACGGGACTTTCTTCAAACAACGAGATGAGTTATGGAGGAGAAACCGCGCACATATTTTTATTTTACCTCGAAAAGCGAATAAAATGTAAATGGTCATAAACGACATCTCCACTAAATTGGATTCTGTCCGAGGCTCCAATCGAACGCTCTCCTCTCCCCGCACACAAACGAACATATATAAAGAAAAAGCAAAGTCGTTGGTATTGACACACTGATCTAAATTGTTTTGTTCAAACAACATCAAATTGATAGTTTCCACATTTTGGACTCACAAAAAACAATACAACTAATGAATAATGAAGTTCATCATATTAGTAATTTCACTTGGATTTGCAACAATCGTAAGTAACGATAAATAAATTAACAAAAAATTGTATGTGAAATGTGTTAGATTCTATGTGAAAAATCTCGAATGGTTTTAATAACTACTGATAAACGGTACCATTCCTTCTACGTGCCAATATCCAAAGAGCCTGTCGTAACCTGGATGGATACGCAGGATGGAATCTATCCAAACGTGAGTAACTAAATCCTAAAAAAAGAATGTATTTTATTTTAAAATCTAATAATCAGGTGTCTCCAATCAATTCCGAGGTTGAAATTGGAAGTGAAATATCTCTTCTGATCTTCATGAAAGACAAGAGCAGACTCTACGATTTGAAAATTAACAGATGCGTTGCGTACGACGAGGAGAACTTGAAAAAATCGAACAATTCTTTGACCTTGTACAGTAGATTCGAAAAGGACAAATCAAAATCGTAAGAGAATTTGAGTGAACTGTTGAAACTTATGATGTGACAATGTTTGTGTCTTTGTAATAGGAAGAAATACAAAAATTTGGATTGGAAACGTGAGCCGATCGCGAATTTTACCAGTCTGTTTTATTCCGAGTTCGAGGCATTCAAATTTCCAGATCACGACAGGATTTTCTTGACCTGCGACATTGAAGTGAGTTATTTTTTTCATTTATATAAAACGTATTTGATTCATAAATTATTTGTCTCTAAATACAATTTATGCATATGTTTCTTACATTTTCTAGACCAATTTGTTAATTGATAATTTCATTAAGTCATTTAAAAAGCAAGTCAAATATTAAAAAAAATTATTTTTCTATAAATCAATCTATGTTCAGCAATAACCCGTATAGTCCGGTTTCAATCAGTCCGAATTTCAAAATAAACTATTTTTTTAGAACTAGTTGTATAGATGATCGAGTTTTAAAGTTCTCGATTAATCCGATTTGCACTATGCGAGGTATTTAGTGTAATTACAGTTTTCATTTTAAGTTTTTAGAACATATAAAATCGTTGAAAAACTGCAATTAATCAATTTAAATTTTTTATCAATTATTGTTCACAAAATTCCTTAGACTAAATGCAATGAATTCAAGTTTAATAGAAGTAAGATAAAGTAAATATACAAGGTGGCGCAAAAGTAATGTCATAATTTGAATTGGCTGGCATTTTGTTATTAATGAAAGAAAAAAGAGCCTCTTTTCATCAAAAGTTTATTTAATAGTGTAAAATTTGTGAAATTACATGAAAATTGCTACCTCCCGAGTTGATGCATAATTGCGCTTGTTTTACGGCTCCAAATTGGCGATTTCTGACATTATCTTTGCGCCACCTTGTATTAAACAATTTCAATTTTTATATAAATAATTTGTTATTCTTGTATGTTTCAGCTGTGTTTCAAGCCTTGCAAGGTGGACGTGTAAATGAAAACGCACGCAACGTTAACACATTAGTACAAACACTACACGAAGCGACGTTACATAATTTAAATTGAATAAAGGAAATCGATATCGCTATTTTCGTTTTGCTTAACGAATCTCACGGCTCCGTTCGTAATCCGTGTTAAAATGGAGTACACGTGCAGAAATGCTGCTTTGGATAAAAATGTAACATCCAGAAGCCGTACGTAGCCAGACAATCGATACTCCAATTCAATAACAAAACATACGAAAAGCGTTCAACACTAACATAGCAACAATCGCGATAATAAACACGTTTTTCTCCTGTCTATTCGATCGAGTGTACATTATTATATAGATTATCAGTATTGTAGGAAGTTTGTTAATACTTTATAAACTCATTACATGTTACCAAGAAAAAAAATAACGTACTTCATTTCACAGAATAATTTTGTTGTATTACTATGTAACAAATTAATATTTATTATATAATAAAGGGCATTTATACACACACGTGTGTGTATTAGATTTACAAATTTAAATGAATATTTTGTTCTTTGAAGTTTTCATTACTCTTTAATATTTACTTTTCAGAAGGTATAGAGATAAACAAACTTCCAATAGTTCTTAAAATATGTTTCACGCATAAATCTTTTACCTATTTATTTGTTTAAATATTTTTATGTGTTGATGAAAATAGTTATAAATCTGGACATGACATCATATCCGAGTTTCGGGGTGGTAATTTCAAACCAATCCAGCATAGATTTTTTTTCAAATAGATGAGAATTATATATTTTAAATGTAATTTCAATTAAGTACTTATTTCTAATGATACTAAAAAAAGTCGAACATTTTTCAAATGTTCATTTTTTCGTTGTATAAAAGTTTGAATAAATTTTACTAAAACTAAAATAAAAGATGGATTTTATGGAATTTTCTGTCTATGGGTTTTAAACAAACATAAATCAATACACTGTGAAACCTACACATAATATGTTTGAACACAAGTTTGGAAAATGAGTTTCCACTGTACATACATTGAAGATAAGACAAATAAATTCTGCGAAATTAAAATTCTATATAATTCAAATTATTCTTTATTTATTCTTCTTGAGGCTTTCACCTCTTGTAATACACTTAGACATTGTCTAAACTGTCACAATTTCGCCAGTCTCAGTCTTTGTACAGTAAAAGGGTTCTGCAAAACAGATGTAAGACGAATGGAGTGATCCAATATTTAAATTAAATAATAATAACTTAACTCTTCTGTAATTTAAATTATGCAACCAACATCACATTTCTATTAAACTATTTTATTTTATAGACCAATACCAAGTGTTGTCTACAGGATAATTACATGTAAACTCAATATAAGTTGTAATTATTTATATTATTTTGGTAATGATATAGCATCAAAAAGTTTAGAGAAACGTTAAAAAATAACATTTAGAAATGCGTAACTTTTTCATCGTCTATTAAAGTTAAACAATACGTGTGGCGGTTATTACTTGAATAGGTGACCAACACTTTACAAAAACTAATATAGATGAGTCCGCTTAATCGGGTATATTTGTTCCATTTCTTTCTGTTATTTACGGTTGTCCCGATTAAGCGGAATCTATTGTATCAAAAAAAATGTACATGCAAGAACGAGAGAAAACATTTAAAATAATGAACTAATTACGGGTATGGTAGAAAATGTACGAATCAATGAAACGAAAACATTTTAAAATTCTTGTAATTATCTATAATTTATTTAGTTTGTACACAGTTCAATTATTTATTTGCTTTCTTTTTAGAATACGAATTACAAATACGTAATAACCATTTCATCAACGATTTGAATTTCTCTAGGTTGCATCCATTGCAATCATGCAAGAAATAAAAATAATAAAAGCAACATCACCACAAAATGCACTCTGATTCCCTGAATTGTTTTATTAGCTTATTGAAATAATAACCATATTTGTCTTAATATCAACATACAACATTTACCTTTGCAGCAATATAAGTAAGGTCGTCTCATTTCGATATCCATTGATGTTCTGCGAAGAACGATTAAAACAGGATAAATAATATGAAGGCAAAGACAAGAACGAAGAAAGGAATAGCAACAAATAAAAGAAATAATAATATAATCGTATATAATTAATAAACTGCACTCTTCCAATGGTTAGATAATTACTTAATAACGTATTTATATATATATATTGTTTTTTTTTTCTTGTTGTAGATATATATACACTGTGTTCGAAAAATAATAATACATATGGTTAGTTAAAAGTAGTAATGGGAAATTTATAATAATAAAGGAAAAGATATTCTTGGAGCAAAAGTAAAATAAGTAAAAAATAATAATAAAAACACTTGCAAAAACATGTATATATCAGTATACAGAATCAGTATCAGTATATCAGAAACATCCAATGATTACCTACATAATGTTATTTAAGTTAATTGAATAATAAGTAAACAATTACTTAAAATATGATGGACATAAAAAAAATTCATATAAATATATATATAGAATTAAAAAAAGTGCTAAGGTCTGCGGCCTGCTACATAAACTCATCGAAATCATCATAATCTCCTACATAAGCAGAGTATTGCTGAAAGAGAAAAGAAAGAATTTAATAAAAATACAATCAAAGCGCAAATAGTAATTGAGTAACTCACATTGCTTCCTTCCACCTTCAATTTTACTTTTCCCTTTCCTTTGTTCTTCTTCGCTTTGTCGCCCTTCTCAATCTTTTGTTTCTCCAAATATAAATTGTCTATTGTCGTTTTAATCTTCTTCAAATCAAAAGATGTTACTGAAACGATTTCGCGCAATTAATAAAATTGTAAATGATGTAAATTGAAATCGTTTTCATTGGGCTTTACTTACATGTTGCACAAATATTTCTGATCAGATTCTCAGAGAATGTTGGGTATTCCATGCTTTTCGATAATGGCTGAATTTTTGTCATGAGCGCATTGGCGAACTCATCAAATTCCTCTTTTGTGTTTGGAGCTCCACCGTCAATGGCACCAGCACCTTCAACTGCAGCACTACCAAAAGTAGTCTCCAATGCACATGCAATATCCGACTCTTGCTGTCTCTTAAATTTCTCTTCCGGTGTCATCTCATCTTCCTCCAATCTCATCCTCCTCTCCATCTCCTCACGCTTTAGCCTCTGAACATTCACATAACGTATTTAAATATTACCAAAGCTATAGACAGTTATAGAACATACCTCTTTCTCAGCTATCCTTTCAGCAAGTGGTTTCCTCTTGGGCTTTGCGTAGAGCTTCTCCTTATCCTCAGATTTATCGCCTGAGGACTTTTCCTCCTCCTCATCCTCCCAGCAATCCTAAAGAAAGTCCCAATTTGATGTATGACTAATCCAGTTATCAAAAAATGTAAGGTTATGAACTTTAAGTATTTCAACATTGAGTGTTTGTGCAATGTGCACGCAATTGTTGAACTCCGAGTTTGCACAACCGAATTTTGCGATAAATTTAGCTTTACCTTAACGTCGTCGTCCTCGTCTTCGCCTTCCCATTTGTTCGAGGCTGCCACGGCGACCTGGGGTTTGATTTCCTGCGGTTCGAAATTTTCGTCGTCTAGTGAAATACAAGTGGAAATAAATTAA